AGTTCACATGCCTGCTCTGAATTTCTGTTCTTAATCCGGCTAAGACTGTTCACATGTGAATCTCCATGGAGTGACTGATTAGCATAATGGCTCCATAACATTTCCCAACATTTGTTGCATGTGCACGATACTGTATAAAACATCAATATTACGCCTTATCAAATTTATTCACAAGCCAAGAGTTCACAATACTTAAGATACTTATGTGAGTGCAAAATTTGCATCATTAGGACTGAAATTAAGACTGAAGAACCACTTTTTTTGTACAGTTCATCTTCATTATTTTGAATCAACCTCTCTAGACAATGTCATCAGTTCATCCAACACTCATATTTTCAGCTGCACTTACAAGACAACACTCGCAACTGGATTTAAAATTAACTAGAAAACTGAGAATTTTCAATAAGAAAGCACAGTTAATGTATTGTAACGTGTTTGGAATCCAGAAGAGTCACTTCTATGGAAACACTAGAACAGACCGTTGCATAGGAAGTAACAATAGCGTTACTGTAATTCTAACAGTGAGCATTGCATAGAGATAAGTTTCCACGGTTATAACAAAGGCTCACTGTATAGCAACCACCGAGGTATAAATAGCCCAGCTTCGACAAGAAGAAGTCAGTCTCAGGATAGACGCCGAGTGTCTTCAGGAAGCTGCCGCTGAAGATAGTTGGAATCTGGATACAAAGAGCTACAGAAGTATTGGCCAAGATATTGTGTAAGCAGTAATTGCCATACTGCAAGTGCTAATAGTTGTAAAGTGTGTGCGAGTGTCCAATAAAGATTCGCTGAATCCGAGACCCACGCATAGTTATTTGTTGTGTGCCATACCCAACATGTGACAACTGGTGTCAGAAGTGGGATCAATTCGGAGTCTGAAGCGAATTTGGGAGAATTATTGGCTTAACCCCTCGCAGAAAAATGGACATGGAAAAAGTGATGGAAAGTCTGTTGGGCGGCCAGGAACAAATGGTGGCCAGACTGAACGCCGATAGAAAGAAAGACCAAGAAAATTTACTGGCCAAACTAGAGGACGACAGACAGGCCAATATGAAAGCATGGCGAGGGGAAATGGCCATCATGACAGACAAGTTGGGGAACGATAGCCACAAGAAGATAGTGGCCGAAACAGAAAAAAAGATGACTGCCTGCCAAGAGAAGGCGGCACAGAAAGATGATGTCCCCAAAGTAGACGCTGAAGTAATGCCGGTCGGGGAACCGAAGCAGAAAAGGCGCAGGGACCGAAAACTGGCCGCGGAGCGCCGCCGCCAGAAAGCGATGGATTTGTCATGGGAAAATCGCGAACCCCAGAAGAAATTGGCCATCACCCGCAGAGGGACGACACACCGTGCAAAAGTGGCACAAAAAACGCCAATAGACCGGAAGGTGTCCTGCCATGCAACAGTGTCATGGCGCAATAGGAACATCTTCAGGAAATCTACGACCCAAGGAAATTGTGGACCGTGGCACGAATTGGCTGCCAACAGAAATATGACTAGTCATGCAGGTGCAACATGGCGCAAGGGAGATCTCGCAAAGAAATATTCAACCAGGGTCAATGCTGAACAAGAAACCTGGAAAGGAAGAACGGGAACAAAGAATATAGGCGGCAGACGGCCGCTATGCCAGAAGAAAAAGGGCGCCACCTGAGGGTGTAGATCAGGACAGCAATCGCACCTAGGAGGGACAAGGACTCGTAAGAAGACCTTCGACCAGATTTTCAGCGTAAAGATCGGAAAGCAAATAATCAAATCTTCCATCGGCCTACGGCAAAACAAAGATTGGACACTGTGGAGGGGCCGACCCCTTCCAAAGCGGAAGAAAGAAAACGGCCCGCATGGGAGAAACCGGTAGTAGAAGCACCGGCCTCCCTAGCAAGAAGAATGAGGAAAGGATGAAAGCAAGGTATGAATGTGAGGCAAGGCGACCAACAAATTCTGGACCATGAGAGTGCTCGGGGCGAGCATCACTGAAGAGAGGGGCGGATGCAGTTGGATGACCAATGCAGACGTTGCCAGCAAAACACCTTAGGAAACGAAACCAAGGGAGAACCTTTAGGCTGTTCGGGGACTAAAAACCTTTAGAAGGGAGCAATGTAACATGTTTGCAATCCAGAAGAGTCACTTCTGTGGAAACGCCAGAACAGACCATTGCATAGGAAGTAACAATAGCGATGCTGTAATTCTAACAGTGAGCACTGCATAGAGATGAGTTAGGCTCATTGTATAGCAACAGCCGAGGTATAAATAGCCCAGCTTCGACAAGAAGAAGACAGTATCGGGGCAGATGCCGAGAGATACAGAAGTCAGTCTTCAGGAAGCTGCCGCTGAAGATAGTTGGAATCTAGATACAAAGCGCTACAGAAGTATTGGCTGAGATATTGTGTAAGCAGTAACTGTCATACTGCAAGTGCTAATAGTTGTAAAGTGTAGTGTGAGTGTCCAATAAAGATTCGCTGAATCCGAGACCCACGTATATTTATTTGTCGCGTGACACACAACACACGACAGTATCATTTGGGTATTTTATGTTCATTCAGTCATACTTCTCACCAAAGAGCTACATTCGGTTATAACATCATGTTTAAAGAATAACAGTATGTCTTACCTTTTCATGTTCATGATGCAACTGCACAATCTGGCATGCTGCTTCACAGTGACAATGACAAAATTTGCAAATAATTTATTATTATTTAAATTTAAAATGTTTCCATTACAAATTACACAATGTGAATAAGATTCCAATAGCAAGCTGGAATTTCTGAGGAAAACTAATGCTACTGATAACACACAGAACATTCACACCCTGTGATGAGATAAGCGAATATTTATTACATCTCAGTTTCCATAGTGTCTCATTAGAATATAGAATGTCTGCACACCCACACATCAATCTTCACATTATTAACACCACCAAAAATTATGACATCATTCTACATGTTTCAAGCATCTTGAAAAGAAGTTCACTTTTATTACACAGTCTCTACCATAGTCATATATTTGTAAAGGTACTCCACTGCCTAAGCATCACTCATGAAGATCCAGAGTTATGGAGATAAACATCAACCATTCTTGATACCAGTAGAGAAGGATGCAAGTAATTAGATTCATGCTGTGGCTGCTTCTGAAAAGCAATTCTCAGACCTAACACATAAGAGAAATTGAAACTTTCAGCTCATAAAAAACAAACTTCAAACTCCAGAAGTTTCACTGTACTATTTAACTCACATCATGTTATACTATCACAGACTCTGATCTCCATTTCTATTGACAATAATCACTACAATAAAATAGTTATAACATAAGTATAAAACAGTTTAAAACCATGGTGCTAAAGACATTTATAAGCTGGATTGCACAAATAAATAAAGTATGCACTTAAAACAACACTGTTCAAATTGATGTCCCTGAAAGTAAGAAGTCAAAAGTAACGAAAAGGATCTTGCACCTAACATACTGCATAATGTATGACATTAATTCATAATTTATCATACACATTTTCATTACTGTGGCACATTCACTCAAAACAAGAATCATGGAGTCATAACAGCTGGCTGTTACTAGGCAGCAGCATATAAACAACAGAGGAATGATGTTTTCTGCTATGTCTATGCTGATGGCTGCCCATGCAACAATGGAATATGTTCTACCATCTCTAAGCAACAATTGCATTGCAACAGAGGAATGGCATTTTCTACATGGCCCGTGCCAAGCTGTTACGAGTATAAGCAGGACCAGTTAGCTGCAGTCAGAAAACTACTGCAGTTCAGTCGTTGCAAGCTGTTGCTGTTACAAGCTCGTAGCTGAGGCCGGGGACCATTTGGGATCCCAAAGAAAGGAGAACATCTGCCATTGGAAGCTGCTACCAAGCAACAGCAGTGAACTGTAGAGTGTAGCCACACATTATATCAAAGTCCTATAAATTCAGTCCTCCAAAACTTGTCTATAGTCACACTCCACACATGTGACAACATCAAATACAAAAATTTCTACTTCCTTTTCCAGTTTTATTCAGTTCTTCCTGCATCCTGTTAGAAATGCCTGTCTTCACTTTTCTGTGACACAAAAGTCACATTATGGCACATTAACTAACTAGTATATTTTGCATTGCTGAGAGAAAACAATATCTGAAAGGTAATGCCAGTCATAAATGATAGTAATAAAAAAAGATGGCAGAAAGAAATTATATTTACTCACATAACTGCCCCACTATTTTACATAGTAGTTTACATTCAACAAAGGCAATTACATGGTCCTTCCCTTTTGATATTCAAGTGGTTATAAGATATATCTAGTGATAATGGAATTTTTAAATATTTGCTAGTACTTTTTCACCGTATACGAGGGGGTACCGAAAAGAAACCAAACTTACTTTTTTTTTAACTTATTTATTCAAATTTTAAGCACAAACCTTCAATCCCCTTCAAAGTACTATCCACTTACACTAATACACTTGTCTAGTCTTTTATTCCATTTTTCAAAACATTGTCTAAATTCATCTTTTGAGATGCTTGACAGCGCCTCCGTCGTTTTTTTCCTTCACCTCAGCAACATCAGCAAAACGCTGAAAAAAAGTTTTGCTCATTTCGGGACTCTTCTTTCAAAGCACAGCATGCTTCCACGCGACCTTGTTTTTGTTCAGCAGTCAGCAGTCNACACAAAACAGTTGTCACTATAAACTCTGCCGAAACTAGTCCTTACCTTCTGAAGCAACGGTAGTCGGCTTATCGACTCAGGAATGTTAGCTCTATGCGCTCATAGTGGCAAAACGCGGTACTGCAAAAGCTCTGCCCACAAAAAAATTAGTTCGGTTTCTTTTGGGTACCCCATCGTATACATGCACATAAAAAGTTTTATTTTTTTTAACCTAATGTCTTCCCATTCTTGGTTTCCACCAATCTTCCTCACATTGTTGGAACAGCTGTCACTGACATGGTAAGGCAAAGGAAAGGAGACTGTGTCATATATAATGGTAGCCACCCTGTCAAGGAAACAGAGAGGTAATTACATAGTCCAAAACTGAAATTTTATTTTCTCCTCATACATTAAGTGGGGCAAATATGTGAAAGAGCAATGACACAGCAAACACAGTAAGTGGGTGATTATTCTCTACTTATTTACAAATAATAAAAAGAAAATAAAAGTTATGGTAAATTGAACAATAATTCTTCCCTCTCCCAAACCATATGTACATGAGGGGAGACTGCATTCTGACTGAATCCCTCTTCATTAGAAGAGACAATAGTACATGTACCTGTAACTAGATACATTACCGCTCACATCCAAAACTACAAAATTACTAATAATTTACATTTTTGGATATCAATAACTGACTTCAGTACCGACATTAACAGAAAACAACACAGAGCAAATTATTTTCAACTAGCAATCAAGGAATTACTAAAAACTCATCAATTTTCAGTTAAGAGATGTTGGTAACCATATCATTTCTTATGCCTTTAAGGTAAAACCTACCAATTTTGGTATATTATTGCTTTCAATGAAATCCGTTTCTTAGAATGATACCTTGAAAGTCACCAAAGTGGCAATTTTCTTTATCTACAAAACAGTTTAACTGTTTTATTGAAACAAAATAAAAATATTCTCATGAACTGATAATTCCTAACACTAATTCAATAATAATTCAACATGCAATTTGTTGCCACATACAAAGCATACATAAAAACAGAGCTATGGATAATTCATTTTTATGTTAAACAAAAATACAGGTACACAAATAAAAATATGTTATATACATGCTGTGGCAAGAAATTATCTATGAACAGTTACAAAGTTAAATAAACTTTTGAAATAAACATATTAACATACTAACAAATTTGTTTCCACCATTTACAGAATAAGACCAGTGCTGAACAACTGAAATGAAAGAAAATAAAGTAATTTTAGTATGCATTAAAACAATCACATAAATTAACTTTAGTACAATGCAAATGAATATCAATGTGACACAAATGAGAACATTTTGTATATTTATATAAAATGTCATTACAAGAAACTCAAGTGGACCTCAAACTCTCCCATTCCCTAATTTCACTAAAGCAATATTTTACGTTCAAAACTGAATATGCAAAAACTCTTGCAAATCACAACTGTCCCTTGCAGCTAACAGTACACTTTTAACCATTCTTATTTTTTAAAAAGTATGTAGCTGTCTTAAAATGAAAAGCTGACAGGTTACCTCAGCCTATATATTAACTAGGCTCAGGCTGGACAGCTAGGGTTTAATTCCCAAAGGCAGAAAGGCTTTTATCTTTTCCCACAACATCAGGACTGGTTTATGGGCCCACCTCCTTCCTAATCAATGGGCATTGAGGCTACTTCTCTGGGTTTAAAGCAGCCAAGGCATGAACCTACACATTAACTACATCTTGTGCTGAAGTCAAGAATGTGTGGAGCTATACTTCCACTCCCACAAATACCTTCACAATGTGCAGCTCAACTATGTAAGTAAAGGGATACTCTACCTTTTGCCTGACATTGTGACACTGGTATGTTAAAGAAATTGCTGTCCTTCTGGACATTATCCACCATCCTGTTCTTTATTTAAATACATCATTTGGAAGAATGAAGGTTTTTACCTAAGGACAAAGAATTCAGTTTCAGAAACGATATTTTTATATAAAAAACAGGATGATGGATGTCTAAAAAGTCATGAAAAACATGAAATTTTCAACTGGTACATGGCTCATGCAATGACATTTATTTTCTGAAATTTTTACTAGAACGGACCAATAAGAAAGTTCAATGTCTCTAAAAAATATTGGGTGGGAAGCAATGGGAGCCTCTAACCATGGAAGAATTCTCAAAATAATTATTCTAAGGCCCAAAAGTGCACAATTTAGAGAATTCAAAAGGGGCTTGCTCAACTCAAAACCATCTATGAAACAATATATACACTTTTTTCACATGAAACACATCAATTTAAACTCATGGAATCACTCACAGTGATCAAATTTCTAATCTGGAGTTCACTGAAATCAGTAATCAAGTCAATGCATGTGATCAGAACACAAATTTTTGTTCATCATGTTTTGCGTATGTTTTATCAAATCAAAATACTGATATGAATTTATGTTAAATAATGTCAATTTGATAGAATTTACCACATTGCACCAATGATGAAGTGAATTAGGATTATATTCTCACATGACTGGTTCTACCTTATATTCTAGTAAACTTTGTAAATAAATATACATCACATGGAATGCCTCAGTTTATAATTAGCTTGAATATGGTGTAACATTTTATACTGCGAACAGTCCTCATACATTGTAACAATTGTAGGTCTAATACCCGGAACTCCCATTCAGTATTCCTTGATTTATGATTTTCTTTCAATTACTGTCCAATTTCAATTATCTAAGTCATTATCTACATGTTAAATTACTTCCGCTTAACATTTTCTTCAACTCAGGAGTCAAATTCACTGCCTCCAAAAAGAAATGTTAAATGGGGTTTCACTGAAGAATGCTTCCTCTGCAATAAATGTCACTTGATTTGAGAGAGTTAAGTATGTTTTTATGACAAAATGTGCATCTGAGTATTTTGTATTCCTTTATAACAGACCTCTCAATTGTTACAATTCTGTTTATGGCCACAGCTTGCTCACATGAATGAAATATACACCGAATTCAGCATACTAAAAAGTTGCATATTTCTTTAGCATTGCACTTTGTTATTGAATGTGAGGCCTAATCTTTGAACAGGTCACATCCATCTGTTTGGACTAGAACTTTTGAACAGCTTGGTAGTTTTCTTGAAGAGTAGGGTCAAGTGATTCCATCCAAACTATCAAAGAGCAGGGTGACAAGTAGGAGACAGAACAACAGAATGATCATTAAAATACCAATCAATGAAGGTCCTTCACTACAATTTGGACATGGAAGAGTATAATAATCAGAAGAATGTGTTGGATTTGAGGTTCTCATAATAACTGTCTTGAAGAGTTCTCTTCAAGGAATGTAAAACCATTTGGTAAACCAAACAAGAAACAAACACAAGCAGACGGCAAGATGACCACAGCTTCCTGCCTGTTGTCTTGTTCAGCTTACTCTTCCATGCTAAGACGGAGAAGGAAAGTTCTTCTGAAAAGTTAGGCTCTCTCAGAACTAACACTCGGACAACCAAGAAAGACTGTACTCTTCATTACCGCCCACTATCCAGAAGACTGGTGTTTTCTTTGTTCTACTGTACAACCACAATAATGAACTAGCAATTATATTACAAGGCTTCCTACATAAATGATACAACAAATAATGTGAAACAACTATATAATGCTCAGGAGCAGGCATAGCATAGTCGGTATAGCAAATGGCTATGGGCTGGATGACCGAGGGGCTGGAGTTAGAGTCCAGGTAGGGTCAACAATTTTCTCTTCTCCATGTCATCTAGCCCAGCTCTGGGGTCCAGCCAGCCTCCTAGCCAATGAGTACTTGGGGCTCTTTCCCCGGGGGTAAAGAGGCCAGGGCATGCAGCTGACCACTCACCTCCAACTAGTGCCAAGGTCAAGAAAATGTGGATCTATATATCCACTCTCCCATACGCCTTCATGGCATAGTGCTTTATTAGTTAAGCACAGGGACAACTGTACCTTACGATATAATACTCAGAGGAAATCATTCATAAGGACAGAATAACTTCATCTTAAGTTAATTTAGTGTCTGGGAATACAGCTTTTATAAAGATTATCTCAGGAGTCATTACATGGACATTTGAATAATTATGTGTCCCTCATTCTAAGTTACAAGTTTCTACAGGGCATACTGGTTTGCCTAGCCTTTCAACTTAATTTTTATTACCTAACTAACTAACTAGTTAGCTATGTAACTAACTCCAAGAAGCTGAGTCCTCCTCCTCCTTGACAAGCTGCCAGTCACTCAGCTACTCAAGAAGCTTCATTTTTATTGCCACAAAAAAAAAAAAAATACAATTTTCTCAACCTTAGTTTTACATAATTCAAGAAAATTACATATCACAAATTTGTGGATGTTCTGTGATGTTTTGTTCTCTGCTCCATGGCATTAGGTCTGAAGCTGAACACCAACTTCCTAAAACAGAATTTTCCTCTCTTTCATTATTTGTTGTATTGACTAGATCAGGAATGAGATTATTTACAATCAAGTTCAGTGTAACAGTTAATTTACACAAAGCACAGCTATAAAGAATTAATAATATATATTCACAGTTGTAATGGATTGGTTACAGACTGGCAAGCTCAGTTACCTGTATGAGATTTAGTTAACTCAGATGTGTGCCTGAGCTGGAGTTTTGGGAATGTCTACAGCCACTGTTTCACTTATGGTAGCGACATGACCACTTCCACCAACAATGCTAAGAGCGGACACTTTAGCACGCTGGTACGCCACTACAGTGTTCAGACCCAGGAATCTGCACATTTCAAAAGAAACAGGTAAGTCTCGTTAAGCAATAATCAAGAACGCTTTAAATACGATGACATTATGACAAATATTTGTTAGAGGCAGTTCAGAATCTGGAAATCTGATAATCTATACATTGCTCCCCCCAACAACACTGCATAATGAGGAGCTTCATAACTTATACTCTTCTCCAAGTACAATTAGAATGATCGAGTCAAGGAGGATGAGGTGGACAGGCCATGTAGCATGAATGGGGGAGATAAGGAATATATACAGAATACTGGTGGGAAAACCAGAAGGATGGAGACCACTGGAAAGACCAAGGCATAGGTGGGTGGACAATATTAAAATGGATCTTAGAGATAGGATGGATTGGATTGATCTGGATCAGGATAGGGACCAGTTGAGGGGTCTTGTGAACACGGTAATGAACTTTCAGGCTCCATAAAATGCTGGGAAATTCTTGAGTAGCTGCAGAATTGGCAGCTCCTCAAGAAGGGCTTAGCTCCATGAGTAAGTAAGTGAATACATTGCTCCTGTAATAAATATAACACAAATGTCCCTGTGTGTTTACACATTTCTTCAATGGTGTCAAAGTAACTAACAGGACTGATGATGATGGTAGTCAGCAAATTCAACAGACACTCTGTTCAAACTAGGTCACTTAGCAACTTCCAGTTCCATGTGGTTTGCTTCAAACCCAAGCAAGACAGTCATCTACCTTACAACATTCTGCACAATGCACACTCATTTTACATAAGATTCATCCTATCAACAACAGACATTATGTAAGATTTGAGGCTTCCACGACGGTGACTATGAAGAAAGCAGTCTTCTGGGATATGGCACCGTGTATATGTGGTGTTAACCGACGTTTCGGAGGAACGTATCGCCTCCATCTTCAGGGTAGAAGGAAAAATATAAGAAATCCGCAAGCGAAGAGACCATGAGAACCAGTAAAAGCAGACTGCTTATCTCTTCAGTGCCGGCCTCTGTGCACTGCACCGTCATATTTAAATTCACAGCCGGACGGCCTCTGTGCATTGCACCGCCCGTGCCGCGCTATTTTAATATTATCCTCAGAAAAAAACATTGAAAGATATTCCCAACCTCTTTTTACGAAATCGAAGAGGAAGAACCGAGCTTTCTTTTAGTATAAAAGCTTCTAGACATTTCAGNAACAGACATTATGTTCAGCAGACTGAAACATGGGTCCTCTCATTGCCACTTGGCTGTCCCACCTGTAATTACTAACAATAACGACTTCTGCTTAATGAGAAAAGTAATGAACGATAAACCCTAGCCTTTCACATACATGGATTCATTTAAAAAATAATAATTTTGTCCTCTAATGGTTAACTAATACCGATTTCATTCTACCAGCAAACTGTTTTATTACAATTAAAGTACAGTGAAACGCCCATTAAAGTTTCTTTTAGAAGCAGTGGACCTGAACAGTAAAATGAGTAAAGCGGTAAATAAAGGCACTTTTATAGTGGGATTATTGACTTGAGACCATTGAAACTGAATGTTAAATGAGGGAAAACTTGAAGTGAAGAACATTATATGGGGGGTTCACTGTAGTTTGTGTACTAGAACTATCTCACAAAATCAGATATTTCTATAAGCTATTTATAATGTATGTGAATTTCTGCACTTCCACTTAACAACTGCAACGTTGTGTAATGTACATAGGTTATCCAGAAAGTAAGTTCAGATGGGACACTGAAAAAAAAAAACAAGTATTTCCAAACCATTTTGATATCCATGTACATAACGTACACTACTTTTCCACCACTGTTGAGGTACTTGTCATTGCGGGGCACAAGTTTTTGTATCCCTTCATTGTAGAATGATGCTGCCTACAATACAAACCATGTGTTAATGGCTTCTTTGACCTACCTGTCATCTTGGAACCACCGACCACCAAGGAAAGTTTTCAGATGCAGAAACACACAAAAATCACTTGGCATTATATCTGGGCTGTAGGGGGGATGATCAAATTGTTCCCAGCCAAATGTCGTGATCAGATCTCACGTTGCGGCAGCAGTGTGTGGGTGGACACTGTCATGAAGCATCACAACACCCCCATTAAGCAGGCCACGTCACTTGTTCTGGATTGCACAACACAGTTTCTTATGTATGTCACAACAGACACCTGTGTTGATTATTGAGCCTTCATGCAAGAATTCTACAAGCAGAACGCATTTTCTGTCACCAAACACTGTGCACATGATCTTGCAATTTGAAATGGTCTAATGTTATATTTTAGCGTCCTGTTGCACTGATTTAAGTCCATGATTTATTTTATCCGTCTTCTAGTGCATACATTCATCTATCCCCTCTTCTCACTCGCACTACATGTTTCGGCACAAAAGTGCCATCTTCAGGTGCTGATCCAATCCACGACAAACTAGTTCATTGCATGCCTTGTCTATACATACTAAAATAACTAAAATATATATTTATCATATATACTGATAAATGTTAAGTGTTAAAATATTAAAATTGTACAGGATATTTCATTCCTACGTCGTGTTTCATTACGCGAGTCACTTCTATCATCTTCTGTTGGAGCACTCTTTCACTATCGTGTATTGTGCTCTGTGTTGCGTCTTGCTCCTGTGACTGCGTGTGTTATACTCGATAGTGAAAGAGTGCTCCAACAGAAGACGATAGAAGTGACTCGCGTAATGAAACACGACGTAGGAATGAAATATCCTGTACAATTTTAATATTTTAACACTTAACATTTATCAGTATATATGATAAATATATATTTTAGTTATTTTAGTATGTATAGACAAGGCATGCAATGAACTAGTTTGTCGTGGATTGGATCAGCACCTGAAGATGGCACTTTTGTGCCGAAACATGTAGTGCGAGTGAGAAGAGGGGATAGATGAATGTATGCACTAGAAGACGGATAAAATAAATCATGGATTGAAATGGTCTGTTTGATTTTTTTCTTTATTAGCAATGATGTGTGCCTCCACTCAATGGACTGCTGCTTCCATTCAGGGGTTACATGTGGCACCCATGTCTCGTCTCCTGTGACTATGCAGCTCAAGAAGTCATCCCTTTGCTCACTGTATCGTGTCAGAAAGGTCAATGCACTGGTCTGCCATTTCATTTGTGTTCTTCCATAAGCATCTTCAGCACCCAGTGTGAACACAATTTCCAAAAACAAAGTTTATAAGACACAATTTTGTGAAGTGACAGTGAAATCTGTAGAAAACACAGGGAAAGTGACGAAATGGTGAATCATCTGTTCTCTTCCACTGCATTCACCAAATCTTCATTAACAATTGGCTGCACCACTGATCATCATGCACAGTTTCGCATCCTCCATTAAAGCTTCTCACTTATTTCTGTACAACTGAGTCAATCATGGCATGTTCTCCATACAAATCATGAAGATGATGAATATCATGTGGTTTCACGTTTCTTTCATTTAAGAATTGGATCACAGACCGCATTCAACATGTGGCATGTTTCTCTACTTTCTTGAACACTGTAAACATGCAGGATGATGGATAAACGTGGCTCGAGTGACTGCAAATGGTGTCCGTATCTTCTCAAAGGAGAAACAAACTCTGTACACATGCGTACCATTGTGACTGCAGCGACAATATTTGCAAATAGAACTTACTTGGTGGATACACCTCGTATGACACTTCAGGCATCGACAAATTATTACATGTATTTTACATAATGCCACTTTCAGTCACTCAGGCCATCATGTGCAAGATGACCGGTTGACAGTGAACAATGTATTTAAAACAATGTAGAAGGAAGCAGATATGGCCTTCTGGAAAGTGATATCCAGGTATTTTCCTAGAGAGACTGATGAAAACCACAAAAAAAAAAACTCAGTCAAGGCAGTCAGTGTCCCAACTATGAAGCAAGAACCTTCTGAATAGAAGCCAGAAATGTTACTACTTTGGCTAACTTCTCTGATGGCATGGATACAAGATAAATTGCATGAAGAAAGCAGTCTTCTGGGATTTGGCACCGTGTATATGTGGTGTTAACCGACGTTTCAGAGGAACGTATCGCCTCCATCTTCAGGGTAGAAGAAAAAATATAAGAAATCTGCAAGCGAAGAGACCGTGAGAACCGGTAAAAGCAGACACCACATATACACGGTGCCAAATCCCAGAAGACTGCTTTCTTCAGTCACCGCCGTGAAAGCCTCAAATCTTACAAATTGCATGAAGTCAGCAAATCAAGCATTATCATTTCTGTAAGTGACAAACATACAGACTGCAACTCACTCAGCAAGACTGAACTCCTGCAATGATACTCACCTCACACATACATACTGTATGAGAAGAGCACTGCCAGCAGCCAGCATGCGGATCATTGGGTCTTCAAAAATCTGAATAGTGACCCATGCCCCTGCTGCAGACACACACATACATGTCACAATGGCTGTTGTCTGCAGCCAGTGCCGAGCCGTGAAGCCATGTTGCCAATCCAGCCGTGTTCCTTGCTCCACTTGGTATGCAGAACCGCATACTTTGCAGTGTAGGGAATCGGCACTTGCAGAACTCTTCAAACATTAATTGAAAATTATATAATTACCAGGTGAGGAAAAAAAATATATCACTGTAATGCTTCACTAAAAATGTCCTAAGTCTACCAAGAAAAACTTGGTAAACACAGCTTACAAAACCAAAATGAAACCAGATCCTGTTCAAACCCTTATAACATGAGATTTAATTTCAATGCAAACAGACCACTAGCCATACTTAATTCTGGATATTTGAAATTGGATTCACCAAATAACAAGCATGCTCACAAATTCATAATGCACCAGAATTTTCTTATTATATTCATTTTAGTGCATGGCCAATCAGAGATGATGAGCAAAATAATTTTTTCCTGTCCTTTATTCTGTTTGCATCTTTACCTCCACCCCCCCACTCCTTTCTTTCTTTTTCCTCCCATTTATTTGTTTGTTCAATTGTCATTCCTCTCCCCATTCTTCAAAGCTAAACATTTATCTTGCTCTGGTTCTTCTGTTCCACCATTCCTTTTACATCTCTGAGTCCTCTTCTCCTATCTCCCATATTCTCTCAACACTTGAAGCATAATAACTGACATAAGATCTTCAATTACTGTATTTATACATACGACATGACCGAAAGTATTAGGTGTATTAATACCAACCTCTACAAGCCATCTCCGCAAACAGTCATGGTGTACACTACTCACATCCCCACGACACTGGCAGGGTTGGATTAGTGGACCTACATCTTGACGATCATTATCATAGCAGATCCAACAGTCTTTGGAAAAACAGGCATCATCCTCGTCTGTAATAACAAAAATTAACAATGATGAAAATTTTGCCCTCCCAAGATTTGACATCTTCAATGGCTCATTCATTGACATATCATTGAAAAATCGATGCCAAGACACTCCACATAATTTCTCACATATGAGTGACCTTGACTGCATAGTTTGGAAATTAAATTGGTTACAGGTCCATACAGCACTGTGGTTGCTGTTGTTTTGTACCCATCTGACCGGTAAAGTTGGTTTCAACAGTTTCAACATTTCATGCTTGGGCTCCTAGCATGTGTATCATTATTTTCTTGCATATACCACGCACACAGTTTTATTTAAGGAAATTGTCTAATGAGGTTCACAGCCATACATACTACATATAATAGAGAGTAGAAGTACTCACATTTTATAATAGGACCAACTAATATTGTAACAGTACCAATCTGTCAGAAATTACTTCCAAATATGTGCTTACCTGTGGCCTGGGATGCCTTGTCTAATGTGCCCTCTTGGCCTGCCTGCTTGCTTGGAGGCTCCAAATCCAACTTTCTGAGTATACGTTTTGGGTTTAAGATCCATAGCTGTTCTGGACTGAAAGTATAGGAAGAAAATTAAAATTTGATTACACAAAATATTTGGTATCAGTATTTCTATTTTCCTTCTACTTTTGCATAACGGCTCTCATGAGAAACATGAATGAATACAATATACTGTCACGTGATGGAAGTGACTACAGACGGGGTTTGGACTTGTAACTACAAGTAACTATAGGGCTATCGCTAATTCACACACTATACAATTCACTACAGCATGCACCAAGGCTTCTCAGTCTGCTGTATCTTCACTGGTTGTCAGAGGCTAACGGCTTCCAACGCCATAACACCTCAGTGCAGACTGCATAGAAAACACTGCTTCCAACAGTTCTACTGTTGCACCATGCAAGCTAGCCCAGGTGTACTGTCATCATCTTTCATCCTACATCATGACACACCACAGGATACAAATAATAAAGATCCTTCTTCCGGTCGGTGAGCGCAAACTACCTACAGTGGCCGATTCTCCTACGTCTCTGGCTCTTACTCTGTATGCAGTCTCTTCTTTCATTTCAGAGGAGGCTGACCCCTCCACCATGTCCTCACAATTATTTTCCAAATCCTAACTGGCGGTTTGACTTTTTGCTTCACTATCTCCAGCATGAGAGCCTTCCTGATGATCTTGCCGGATGTCCTCTTGCTTCCCAGATGTAGCTGCTCCTTAAAGTCTCAGTCCCTTATCCCAATGTGCCTTCTGGTTTCGTCTGATGTCTCTTCCCGAACATCCATCCTTTCTAGGTTCTTAGCACAGACTTGTCCTTGCCTTGTCCCTGACACCAATGTCCCTTATGCCATGCATGAACAGCATGGTGGGTCAACTGTCCTTGGGCAGCAGCCAACTTCTTGGATCCACCACTGCCCTGGGTCCATTTCTTCAGCTATCTATGGTACCCTACAGCTATATGCCAGTCCCTATCCTTTTCCAGTGCTCCAAAAGTTTCCTCTTTCCTCTGAGTTTGTCTCCAAATCTCTGGTCTCCATCTTTCCTAGACAGCCCTCCATTTTCTCTAGCTGGGAGTCCATCATGGCCATCATCCTTTCATGAAAGGCATCTAACTTTGCCAGCATTTCTTCTTCCAGGAGTTCTTGGTTGGCCCTCATTTCTTCTTTCAGGTGCTGTTGGCCAGCACTCATTTCTTCCCTCATTTCCCTTAAATCAGCATCCACTTTTGCTTAGTTGGTTCTTATTTTAGCCAACTGGCATCCTATCATTTATTCCATCTCCACAGTGTGGCCATATATCTTCTTACTATGGTTTCCAATCCAAACACTTCTGACACCAGATGTCACATATAAGATTCCCACCTCCAACATCTCTAAAGCAACTTGATGATGTTCTTCAAAAAGAGTGGTATAAAATTCCACTAGACATTCTTCGAAACTTGTACAAGTCCATTTCAAAAGGGGATGCCACTGTCCTGAAGGCATTAATAAAGAAATGTGTACAGTATCTGTAGTGCTTCCATTATTATGTACAACCCCTGTATATGAACTAACCAACTGAGTCCTACCTCAGAAGCCACCAGTTACTCAGTTACTCAATAACTGCCCGGCATTTTATGAAACCTGATGGTTCATTACCACGTTCACAGGTCCCTATCCTGAGCCGTATCAATCAAGTCTATACAACCTCTTGAAAGTAAAACTGGAACGTAAGGTTAATGAATCCATGAACTGTCTCCTTACCTCATACAGTTCCATAGGACACAAGGGAACCACAATGCAACACCTATCTCCACCACTCGGAAGACTATGTCGTGCCAATTGCGACTGTACAGTGGAACTCTGTAATATTTTAAACAAGAAATTAACATCAAACAGCTTGTAACATCACACATTACTGGTGGTTCCCCTCACTGCTTATATGGGAACATGTGCAGACTTAGGTGAAGCATTGTTTTTCTGCTATCTAACCACCACAATATTTACTGCTTACACAAAAGAGTCAGGAATGGTGATAAGAAGGCATAGAATTTAATTTTTGGATTTGCTCTTTCAAATGTGAAGGTGATATGGGGTCTACAATACTCCATGGCATCAAAACACCATATCCAACTCCATTTCCTCGCATAGGATTCTTGTCACCAAAGAGGACAACTGGTGGTGGTAACACAAGGTGCAAACATGCTGTATAATATAGACATTCCACAATTATTATTTTAAAACAGAAAATTTATTGCAAACCACCAGAAGGCTGACTGAGAAAAAAATGCAAAACTTCAATAGGAGCTGTGGTTTTGTCTGGTGTGGTCTATAGGATGCCACCAAGCTAACTGCAAATGTTGGATTATAACTGATGTGTAGGAGGCAATGGTCTGCTCACAAAGCATCCAGTTTCCTGCATTGTCAAACTACATGTACCATCACTGAATGTTCTGTGATACTGAAACTCCCCATGTTCTGAACAGCCTCTGAATTCATGTTTTAAATGCACAACTGTTATGTTTTGTGTACAAAGTCACAAATTTTGCCTTCTGTTGGATGGTCATTGCCTTATCTGCCTATGCACTACTGCCAACCATACCTAGCAAAACCTCCTCTATCCAGTGGTCTGCCTAAAATAAATTTTCCTTTTTTGAACAAGTAATTGTCAGACACCTAAGACACTGTGCATAAGAGTACATTTCCAAGTACAATGTGGTGCAACATCATGTACAACATAAGCACAAGGTTCTTTGCAGGGATCCTCAGTATGCTGGTTTTCCGCCATGCTTATATTCACTGGAGGGTGGTTCAGTGGCATACCCTACTTTCAAAAATGTGGAAACATACTTAGTAGAGTTATACATCTGTTACACTTCCAAATTCCACAAACCTCAGGACACATTTTGTTGACTGCTGTGCACTTGCCACTGCCACAGACTTCCTATAAAGCACACAATGAACATTTCCAACTAGCATCACACAACAAACTTGCAAGTTTCAAGTATACACCCAACAGATGGGCATCATACCTCTTGCTGCTGCTTTGTTTTTATTCCTACCTAAATGGTTCGCTCTGTACATTTCAGTCCTCATTCGGGGGGGGGGCATTCCAATTGAATAGAATCATCCGAACAAATAATACAAAATGATGTAATTTTATTTAATTTGTTCTCTTAATGTATTAATGATTCTTATATAGTATAAACTGTGTGCAATAGCACACACAAATATTGAATGACAAAAAAAATTGTGAACATGTTTATATTTTGCGTAAACCTGAATTTAAAAGGAGAAAATTCAGTATAAATCAGTATAACACGGGTACTTTGATACTTACTTTAGTCAACAGGAAGTATGAAACTGCATCATTAAATTTTTGCTTTCCAAAAATCTGTTCTGCATAAATAAAACATATAAATTGACAAGAAGTTCTGGGAAGAACAGCCTACTTTCCTTTGATATGATATGGACTACACAAAAATCATAAAAACTTGGGGGGGGGCAGACACAAGGCAGCAAGGTGATCTCACAAGCTTCTTTTCATTTTTTCAAAATAAGTAAAGTAGGCTAAAAAGAAGGTAGTCCAAATTAGTAAGGTTACTTCCCTCTGACATACTTAGAAATAAAATAGTAAAAAGAAATGTACTTACTTCTTCTTCCAGAACTCAGACAAAGTCTCACTGAAGAGAAAAGCAATAACTATGATGAGCATGAAAGCCTGAGATAACAGGCCAAAACGTGACTGATGGAGCTGTGATGTGTTGATAATTTGCTGAGGCAGTGGATTACTGTCTGCACTCACAAACAGTCTTGTAGCTGCTGGGTCTGCGGACTCACTGCCTGGATCACTGTGTGTAGGGGTTCGGCTGCTTGTGGCTATTGTCGTCACTGTTGTTTCAAGCAAGAAGCCTCCACGTACCTAAACAACATAAAGGAAACAACTCAAATACAAAACGGTAATCTTAAAATACATAGCTCCTTAAAAATAATCATCATAAGAAGGAAAAAAGGTAACAAAACTTCAAATTTCAGGTAAGATCAACTAGCAAAGGAGACTTTTCGGAGTTTTCCTGAGAATAAACTGAAATTAAAATGTTTATTATGGCATGACATAACTCACATTTGTAAATATGAGAGGATGGGAAGATGCCTGTCTCTAATTCAACAGCACATAATGTCATCTCATCGAAGTTTAGTGGTGATTAATCAATGTACTCCAGATGTCCGAGCAACTTCTAGTAATGACACTGGGAAGTGTTAATACGTGCAAGATCCAAGGAACGTAATAACATACAGGATCAAGGCTACAGCATTATAAAATTACTGGTACATGACCTTGAACTGTGGTCAGATAGAAAGACCTCTATGACCTAACAAGTTCATGCAATGTTTCAAAATAGAATATAATCACTGTTGCTTGTTACCTTTTCCTTTTATCAGCAGAACCTCTTGTAAGAAAAAAACAAGAATAAAGAGACTGTTGGGCACTTCATCCCTTTATCATAACATTGTGAATACAAATTAAAGGCTTCATGCAAATACCTCATTCAGTAGGAGCTATCTGGTGGAAATACACTGAAGCCCACAAGCAAATTCACAAGTGAAATACATACTGTTACATGCATACCCATTGCTAGGCAACAGGTTGGTAAACAAGTTCCTGCAAAAACAGATTCTTCATAAACAGTCCCTTTCTAGTTCATGCAACACTAGGACCAATGTTTGTAGCTCGTTTCTTGGCAACAATCTGCACGCTAATGGACTGGTGAGCTAGGTATCACATGACTTGTTTTCAATGTGGTCCATGCCATGCCCAGTGCTAAGCAACAAAACTGTAAACATAGCCACAATAATAGGTGTTTTCTATGGGGTCCATGCCAAAAGTTTATAGGGGACAGTGAAGATCATTTGCAGCCAGTCATAGCTGAGAAGCCTTGAGTCAATGACATGCAGCAGTCAAGGAAGAGAATCCAGGGGGGGTTCAGCACTTGAGAGTACAAGGACAAGAATGAAATATTTCCTTTGGGGATTGTGAAGACTAGTTGAGTAAAGATTAGGACAGAGGAGGATAATGTGATTGAAGACAAGAAGTCTTCATAGTAATTTGTAGTGCTAGTTTCTGTGTTGAGATCCACTGCTATGAGCCAACTAATGAAGTCACAGAATCCTAGTGCATGTGCAACAGTGAACTGGAAAGTTATGGTCTTCAGGAAATTTACTGCACCAATCATAGACACTTGAACATGACAGTGCCTCTCCCCCATAATGTGCACTTAACCTAGGAAGAATTTCTGCTGGTTTCACCATCTCCTTCACTAGAAATCTGATGATAGCACCGTCCTATATCAAGAGTGCCAAGATCTAATGTCGTCTTGTACTAACTCCAACATGCAAAAGTGGAACACACAGTCACCTGTCAGAGCGAGTGCAGTGTTGCTACCAACTGTCCATAAATGAGTTTTATTTTTCTGATGCCCATGTCTTCAGCAAAAATTAGTCCAGTTTAACCTTGGACCACACTTGTAAATAAAACAGAAATGTTCCACCAGACTTTACAGGAAGACATTTACACAGCAAACAAGATAACATTAAAACCTCAATGGAAAGAGACAGTACAAGCAAACAATTCACATCACAACCCCTTAATCTTAGCAAATAAAAAGATATTTAAATACAATACACATTCATGCACAGCTGTTACCAACTACTGCATTAGTGTAATGTCCCCCATGATCAATATCAAGTTGCTCACAATTAGCGAATAAAAAATAATCATAACAATTTCACATCAAAACAAGCCAAAATATTTAGGTTTTATAGAAGCTGTACAACTAACTGCTTGTACAAGGTATGACTATGAAGAATGGCATCTTCTGGGATGTGGCGCCATGTCCATCTTGTTTCCACAGATATTTCATAGGAATGTCTTCCGATATGCTCCTCGGAAATGTCAGTTCAAACAATATCTACATGGCGTTACATCCCAGAAGATGGTTTTCTTCAAGGTACGCGCATGCGCCCACATGGCAATTTAAATCAATGAACAAAAGCAATTTTTTCATTGACATCACCTTGTGTACACAAAGGAAATAGGTCATAATTTGTTGATAACTTACCTTAAAGAATACCTCAACACCATAGATAAGAAAGAAGATAACAACGATGAACAGCAACACTGCGTAGCAACCATTGAAAACATGAGTATAAAAACTCTGAAAACAAAACATCACAAATATAAGTCAAAATATCCAAACACATCAAGACCCACTATAAAAATAAGGAAAAATGGAATCCTCACATAACCAAACACCTTTCCTTTCGCCCGCAAGTTTTCATTACTGAATATGCAGACATCTCCAAAAAACACTTAATACAATGCAAAAGGAATGCACATTTGCAGTGGGCTACTAAGTGAAAGGTATGAATCAGGCATGTCAAGGTTTAACAATAAATATCCTAAAATGATTCATTTTCATACTTCCAATCCACTAATCCATCTGAGGAAGCCAGACATGTTTTTACTGGTGTGGTGAGGGACTGTAGCAGCCAGATAATAATGGAACTCTGCCTGTGATGGCAGTCAACTGTACTCATACCACACAAATAACTCACAAACCTTCATACCAGACAATGGAAAACATTTCCTTCAACTCCAAAATCTAACACCTTCTTAATAATTATTTAGTTAATTTTGTGGGCCTATCCACTTTGTGTAACAGACTCCTGATGTCAAATATTGTAATAAACTTTGTCTTCAAACATACCCTACTTGTCATATATATTTAAATTCATTAATCTGGAGGCCACAAACCATTCACATCTGATTGTGTTCTATGAGTCTTCTTTGTCCCCAAATTATATTCATGGTAAGAATATTCTAAAATTTCTGGCCAGAATCTTCATGAAATACTTAAAAAGCATGAATGCTTCACATATTTTAAGATAAATATTTATTACAATACTCTGTAACATTTAATTACTGGCAGATAAATTATGCTTCACTATTATACAGCATCTAAACAACTTTGAGACTGTGTCATCATCAGTTAGCAATGTATTTCATAAAGTCATCATTAGAAAATAACTAGATTCTACATATTTTCAATGTATGACATGAACCAAAACCACCATACTGAAAATCCTGTTGAACACACGGGCTTTTCTTCCACATGGCTGCCTACTCAAAGACCCTCAGAGACCCTTTATAAACAGACAGTATACATGAAAAAAGCAGTCTTCTGGGATGTGGCGCCAAGTAGATACGGTGCCACATCCCAGAAGACTGCTTTCTTTGTACTCACCACAGTGAAAACCTCAAATCTTACAGAAAATATATATTATTCTCTGAATTGATGACAACTGCCATTCTATTATGAATCAAAGGGGCTACGAGACCTGGTAAAACCTAAAATAATGAGTAATGACTAAGAGTTCAAAAGCATCTTAGGATTCACAGAACAAACCTTAATGACCTAATCCTACAAAGTTCATGGGGGTTACTTCCCATAAACAAAATGAACACTAAATCTTCTCAGGTTGCAAACTACATTACTGTACACATACTTGGAAGACAACAAACTTGTAGCTGCATTATTCAAAGGTGTATTCTGTATAGCTGATTTCTATGGTACAAAGTCAACAGGTCATATATAATTTTATTAGTGGATATGTGTGCTTCATAAAATGTCAGCAATAGAATAAATACCACATGAGATTAATCAATTTACCTTCTCTTCCAAGGTTGTATTGGCAAACCGTGTAGTCATAAATTCTGCCAGCAGAAGTGAATATGTGATTATATTAAATGTGACAAATCCCAGGAAAGACTTGGAGAGAAACTGCGGCTTTTCCCAACGAATATCTCGCAAATGAAACACCTGCCAAGAAAGATGTTCAAAATGCATACAAATATTCACAAAGATGTAATCTCAAACACAACAGTGTTCAACCTAATAATACCTCAGAATTCAAAGTAAACAAGAGAAATCAACCAAACTAACAAAAATCAAATCAACTGCAGAACTTCTTAATTTGTTTCACTTGGTTAGGGAATTATTACCTGATTTATTACAATATTCATTTTATATGCTCATGTATTTTCCAAGGTGCAAAAATCCAACCTGTGGTAACACTACTAATATATACAATGCTGTAACTATCATTAGTTACACAAATTGCAGAACAATATATGTGGCACCACACTCCATACTTATAAACACTGAATTTTAAATGAAGTACATGATCCACCTCCACCACACATGGTATGGTAAAGGCATCCCCTAGGCTTCATTAAGCACCATGCTGTGAAGGCATATGGGGGAGTGGAGATATAGCTCCACCATTCTTAACTTCAGCACTAGTCAGAGATGAGTGCCCTGATTCATGTCCCTGCCACTTTACATCTGGGGAAACTCACCGCATTTGTGATCTGACAGTAAGGTTCACGAACTCAACACAGTAAAAGTGCTACATAACTCTTTGCTGAATATCACTGTGGTTGCCTTCAATGTACTCCCCTTGGGAAGCTATACAATGATGCCACTGCACAGTCCACCCTTCAAAACAATTTCGAACTGGTTTTGTGGAATGGCCTTCAGAGCTGCCATCATATTACTCCTGATTTTATCAATGTCATCAAACTGCCTTCCTTTCAACATTTCCTTTATCTTCAGGAACAGAAAAAAGTCATCGGGGGGCTACATCCAGTGAATAGGAAGGATGTTCCAGCATAGTTATTTGTTTACTAGCTAAGAACTCCCTCACAGAGGGTGTTGTGTGAGCAGGGTGTTGTGTGAGCAGGTCCTTTGGAACCATTTTTGCACACACCTTCCTCATGTCAAGATCTTCAGTTAAGATTTTCCTGTTTCTCTGAAGTTCACTTGCTCTGCTATGCTCCTGACAGCCTATGATTTTTACCGACAATTTTATGAACTTCTGCAACGTTTTCTTCAGTTCTGCTCGTTGCTGGCTGTCCTGGTCTCTCTTCGACAGTGACATTTTCTCTTCCCTCAGAAAAATGTGTCACCCAATTGTAAACTACTGTTTTCTTCATAGCATTATCCCCATAAACTTGCACTAACATCTCTCTGATTTTGCTTCCACTCTTGCCAAGTTTAAAAAGCTCTGACATTCTCATGATGGCACACCAAATAACACTCAGACAATAACAGACACCACTCAGAGACTGCCACAGGTCAACAACAACACATCTGTGAAATGCTGATACACCAACGTCATCAAACCATACCGAGGTTTCTGTCCACTGCAGCCATGGCAAGCACATGGTAGCGAGTTTGCGAACTTTATTGTCAGATCTTGTATAGCATGCATATTTGTTTCAGAGTACCATAAAATGTAATCAGTCATAAATTCAATTTTTCTTTCCATATTACAATTCAAATATCATACTAAATGTAACAAAATTATAAATTATGAGCTTCAGAAGGTTTTATAAGATTAATAAAGCTTTAATTTTCATTGCCCACAACTGTAATCTTACTGAAGAGAAGATCTGTTATTACCAGTTTCACGCATTTGAAAATACTGCTGCAGTTGTACATTAGAATAAACATAATCAGCAAAGGGACATATTACCTTGTAAGTTTTTGTTAAGTTATGGCTGTCTGCAGTCAGTACGTGGTACTCTGGCATTTTTAAACACATGCCAGGAATCACTGACCAATGGCAGAACTGTTTTCGGAGATGGTGAAATTTCAGATTCCATAAGAAGGAATTTCTTGAGCAGCCAAATACTGACTTTTCAGGTGAGTAGTACTATACCAAGTACTAATACAAGAGAACAACAAATAGTGATAACAATTTCAATTGTACAGAAGGATAAAAATGTTACACTTTTTATTTTAAATCACAGCACAATATTTTTGGATTCTTATATTTGTTAACAAAATTAGAAATTATCCCTCACCTTTCAATCCTTTCAAACAGAGTAAACATATACAACTTCTTTCCTCAAAACCTTCTTAAGAAGTGACTACTCCTGTACAACATGACATTGTTCTGAGACAATGATAAGAATATACTAGATCATTAAGCCACGCTATTTACGGTAACGTCATTATGAAGGTGTTATAAATGGAGAGATTCAATTACATCAAGGCAGAGGCAAAATATAAATATGTAATTAAAGCATCTATGTTGCAGTCATGGCTGCTTAACATGCATGACATAAGTAATACCATTTGGCCATGACTTTGGTATATTTGGTAATCAATGTCCTTTGTCATGACACATCATTAAATGTTCATGCATAAACATACATAATACCAGGAAATATAGATGACATCTATTTCCTGTTACAGACCATTTACAGACACACTGTATTACAAGATCTGACTACAAAAAGGCATATCAGACCCAATGCAATTCAAGATCACAATTTTATGCAACAACATCCAATATTATAGTTTATTACAGTCGCACTTCTCACAAAGAAATGCAGGGTGTGACTGGTAATACCTTTCGAACAACCTGATTTGTTTCTATCAATTAACGCAATTCACACAAAAGACTATGTCTATTCACACACATACCTGGAAGAGTATATTTTTTCTCCATGTGTATGAAATTCATTTTCACTGAGTTGAGATCTATGGATTCAATCTCAACAATGCTTCATTATTTTCTCCTACAATCTGCTGTCTGCCTCATCGATAATTCAGGATTCAACATGCCAATGCTTCGTTAACTCCCTCCTACCCAATGGCTACCAGAACCAATTTCCCCAGGGGTGAAGTGGCCAGGGCATTAAGCTGACCACTCAACTCCATCTAGTGCTGAGGTCAAGAATGGTGGAGCTATACCTCCACTCTCTCATATGTCTTCAAGGCATAGCGCTTAATTAATTGTGCATGCAACTTTACCTTTTAAACCCCAGAACAGTCTGCTGTCTACCTCACTGATAACAAGGGATTCAAAATGAAAATTCTTTGTTAACCCCTACCATAGTCTACTGCCTACCTCAGTGCTAACTAAGGATCCAATCTGGCAATACTCTGCCTCACTTCAGTGAAGTAATTCCACTATTTACTCTCCACTCAGCTTCCATTAACACACCTTAGCCAAGCTCAGTGCAAGAGTACCTACTGAGTTTGTCCTGAGTGCACATGTAACAGGAAACTGCTACCAAGTCGATGAGTAATAGCTTGGGCATTTGTTGCTCATGGTCATGCAACCAATCCATATGTCCTCTGATTACATGTGAACTGAAATACTTGTACTGCTTTATCACCATCATTTCTTTTTATAATGGAAGTATCAGTGCATTACCTCCTCTATTTATAGAGGCATACACTGGAGTTACATCACCTTAGGTTTAAGACTGATGCCATAACTCCAAAATGTACACTAGTCAAATCACTGCCTTGCTTCTTACTAGGGACAGCAGATGTAAAATGGAGAAACAAAAACTTATTGAAGGAAGTATAAAGGAATGGGCATATCTTTTGCATTATTAGTTGAATTCATCAAGGGCTAAATGCTTTCTTGCTGGAGATTTGGATTGACTTCCTGAAGCAGCAATAGAAGGACTAGGGTTTTGGGATGATGCTGGAGATGTACTTTCAGTGGACGCTGATGGTTCTGGTCTCTTTCGGAAGTAGCTGTCTAAGGTTATGAGCTAGATAGCCATTTCTTTTCTATGTAAGAGGCATAATCCATTTCAAGGCTTGCACTACTTTCAAACTTCTTTCAAAATCTAAATGAAGATTTTCTAAGAGAGCAATGCCAGCTTTGAAATAACAGAAAACTTCAGAGATAATTTTTTAACTTAGGCCTTTAGGCTCAATGATGGATGCCTCTTTAGCCACATCTTCTTGCCTGTGCTCTTCAAGTACCAGAAGATCTTCACTGCTGAGGGGCTGAGAATGGGGCAGTTCAACTACATTTTGTGACTCCACTTCCAGCTCTCACTGCCTTGCCATCTCTACACCTGCTAAGGGTTCTTCTTAAGTAGTATAGCTTGAAGGCAGCTATGAGTGATCCATGGGCTGCAGCAGTGAGGTGGAATTGGGTGGCAGGCATATCACTTGAATGTCAGTGTGCAAAGGATGGCTAGGAGCACTGTCTACAAGGAGTAAAATTCTGAAAGGTATGTTCTCCTCCTTATGACAGCCTTTCACTGCTGGTATAAAGCAAGTGTCAAACCATTCTTCAAAAAGGGCTGATGTTACTCATGTTTTTGCATTAGACCTCCAATGCACTGGAAGTTTAGTTTTAACAGTTTTTCAAAACTCTAGGGTTTTCTGAAAAGTAAATTAACATAGACTTTACCATTAAAATACCATAAGCACTGGCACCTAATGGGAGGGTTAGCCTATCTTTAGCTGGCTTAAAGCCTGGCATGGTCTCCTCTTCTGCAACGAAGATTCCAGATGGCAGCTTCTTCCAGAACAGCCCCATCTCATCAACATTAAAAATTTCATATTTCATATAGCCACCATCATCACTGATCTTCACTAAGGCTCGTGGAAAACTTTCTGCAGCCACAGTATCTTAAGTTACTGCCTCTCCATGCACTTTCATGTTATGTAGGTCTGACCTCTTCTTGAACCTATGAAACCAACTATGGCTTGCTCTAAACTCAGCATCCTTCACTCCCTCACCTTCCTTAACCTTCATGTCACTGAAAAGGTTTGGAGCTTTATTCTGAATAATGGCCTAGTTTCAGGGAACATGGTGACTAGTCTGATCATCTATGCAGACCATTAAGAGTCTCTCCATATCAGCAACAAGGCTATCCCTTTTCCAAATTAATGTAACAGCCTTACAACTTTTCTTTTCATTTCTATCTGCCATTATGTTATTTTATATTATAATCACAATGAAAACAGTAAAATAAGAGTTATAAACAGTTTAACAGTTACTTCGGCCTAGGCTAATCACAGAGCATAACACAAAGAAATGCTGATGTACATAACTGCCTTACAACTTTTCTTTTATCTGCTATTATTAAGTTATTTTATATTTCAAAACAAACAAAACAGTAACACAGAAGTTATAAACAGTTTAACATTCACTTAATCACAGAGTGTAATACAATAGCACTTGGAGTATGACTGTGTATATCACTTTCACCCAGTGTTTTATATGAGTGTGTAACTTGGTCTCTTGCTCAAAGAGAAGATAAGACTATGTACCGAACAGGGTACCATGGACAATATTTGGATCTAAGAGACACAAAGTTACAGGAGACTAAAGAAAACTGCATACTGAATTTCCTAATTTGTACTAGTCACCACATATTATCATGGTTATCAACGGGGATGTGGTGAACACTGCAACATTTTGTACAGATCTTTCATCCCTCCCAAGCACGCTACATGCCTAATCTACTCAAATAAATAAGTATGATGGACCAATACAATAAATGAATGAATATGTTTCGGTCTGGTAACACAGTTTTCATGCAAAAATACAGTGATATATTTGCAGGTTAATATATAAAGTATTCCATAACTGCTCATATTCAAGTACTGAAGTATGAATATGTTTAGTTGCTTATTTAATGATACTGCCATTATCAATACTACATAACACTGGTCAAGTATGAACTGCAACTGGAGGAGTCTGTGACTAACAACAGACTGCAGAAAAAAATCTGGGGTGAAGGGTAGCTGGAAGTTCAGATTTTCATAAATAAAACACATTATAAACTTGGGTACTCACCTCTGCCCAAAAGCAAACAACAAGTGATGAACCAGATAGCAAAAGTGGGTAGTATGCACTCATAATGCTGCGTGACCAACCTTCTTCAAATGCAGCCTAAAGGAGAAAAGGACATATACACTAGCCAACAGTCCTTAGAATGAAGCCAAAATAATATACAATTTACCCTCATCATAACAACTGTATATACAATGCACACTTAACAGGCATGTTAGGCAGAAGAATCTATAAATTAAGTAATTATGACCACTCCTTATAATAAATAAACATTAACTTCACATGCAACTATTTACTGTTAGATTATAATCCTCAAATTGGTGAGAAGTCAAAACTATAGAGGCCTACTGAATAAATAAAAAATCAGTTATAGGGTTTCAACATTTACTGACACTGTACAACCTAAACGAAAATTAAATACATACAAATCATTTAATATACTGCAACATGACACATAAAAGTCAGAATGCTGTGGTCAGGGAGGTGTTGCAAAGGTGGCCACTGCTACCCAACCGCTTGTTAGAACATGTTTTTGCAGCAACAAACATGGACATAACAGTAGAGGAATTGCTGGAGTTAGTGTTTTCTAATCAGTCTGGGACAAAACTGCACACCTACAACTGACCAAGAGTGATATAATGAACTGTGAATGTTGTAAATACTTGTGAACATATAAGTATTTGTAAATATGGGGAATTAGTAGCCAATAAATTCCATTATCAATCTGAATCCCCTGTCTGGTCACTATCATGTGACAACATGATTCAAAATCATATCATAACAGAGCACTACATTACAGGACCAAACCTTATCTGTTTTTAACACTGCCTATGTCAATATTATCTTTTGCTTTTCCTTTACCACAGTTGTTTTCTGAAGATCATGGTTGAATATAAAAGTGTGAAAATATACTCATAAGCCCCCTTGGCTTATCTCAAAAACCAAAAGATCTGCAGAGGAAACCGAAGATCAATGTAAACTGTCTTCTGTGCTTGCTTATCTTACCATACCCATACAAAATAACCACTACGGAAATATTTAAGGGGGGGAAAAAAAAGAGCGCATGTGAAGATGTTTTCCATCTTACTGAGACCTCTCAAGCAAGTACTAACTGTACTTTCCAAGTTTCAAGAAATACCCATGTTTTTTCTTACCGGTGATGTGAAGTATGCACCTCTGACAATGGCAGCCAAAAACACCACAAAATACAGCAATTTCTGTGTGGTAACACGACAAGCTCGAAGAAGTGAAGGTGCTTTCATTCGCTGCCATTCTGCTACGATGCATATAACCAGCTGGATCAGACAGATTAGTGCCAGCAAGAAAAAGACTGTAGCGAATGCCACATAATAGCTCAAGTTTGGTACATGGCATTCCGGTCCATCAAACTGAATCTGTAGATCAAGGAATACATATTTATGAGGCAGAGTTCCATTTTATGAAAAAAACAAATTCCAAACAAGACCACATACTAACATATTTTCCACCATTCCTACTCATCCTTAACACATGAAGTAATATTTAATGATTAAATTACAAAATATGCAGAAGTCTTTCTCGTGTCAGCACCAATGTCACGTCATATCAGTAACTGCCATATACTCATCAACCTACAGAACTATGATCATTGATATAGTATATCAGTATAGAAAAAGCATACATCATGCAGTATACTGATGTATCATAAAATAGACTTTGACCAGATAACATTGATAATAATATCAATATACGTACACTCTTCACATTCTGAAAACTGGAAAGAACAATAGGGCCCATGGTTTACAGGCCTCTAACTCTCACAATTTTAAAGAACGTAAGTGAATATAACTTTTACGCTAAATTTATGGGTAATATTAGCATATTATAATTGTGAAAACATTTCAAAAAGCTTACGAACACAGATAAGCCAACATTTGCCCTTTTGTAACTAAATTTACAGCTTCAAGCACTAGTAATGATATCAACCCTGTCTTATTCAAATTGTTACTCTGATATGTATATTACTATACCACATTCTTTTCATTTTTGTGTCTTACCTCACACAGGCAAGTGCCATTATGGCACTCTCCATGTCCTGAACAATTATCAGCACAGGTTCCATTCCACCCCATAATACCAAACTTAAATAGCAGTGACAATGGGTTCTGTGTTGTTAGTTTCATCATACTTTCCATCCTGCTCACAGGCACTTCCAAGAGTGCCCTCTGGTAAAAGGAAGAACATTTTATGTTACTTATACAATAAAACTAAAACAAAAAGCATCAGTCCATCCACAACATAAATTACGGGCAAAGTAATAAATAAAGAAAGGTCGCGCCATAGCTCAAGCGGTTAGTCGCTGGCTTCCCACGGCGGCGGCCCGGATTCGATCCCGGGTCTGGTCAAGTGGGATTTGTGGTGGACAAAGTGGCGCTGGGACACAAGCAGAAGTCATGCAAAATCATGAAAATGCGAATGTTTGCAACATCGGACAAGGCGAAGCCCGACACAGAAAGTATAAGAGGCTTAAACTTGGCGGCGGTCAGGCATACGACCGTTCAAGTGACTAGATTGCCGCGGTAACGAATACTGGTAGAAATAGGGCAAAATCTGCTGTACTGGGCCTGGATTGACAGAAATATGAATTAAGATTAAATTTGTAAATTTATGTAAATGCTGACAATGGACTTACTAACACAGACTATGACTGACAATTGACAGACCCGACCTCTCGTCAGAGAGGGCGCCCCAAATGGACAGGGCAGTAACTTTCATATTAGAAAAAAGAAAAAAATATATATGGTCATGAGCCCCGGACAGTCGCAATGTGACTTGGACTTCGACTTTGGAATGAATGGATAGCGGCGAATAGTACCTTTGGAGGCAGCATTTGCTATACAGTCAGACTGACAGACGTAATCAGTAGATCTCAAGCAGAACTGACGCAGAGTTAGTCCGAGCTAGGCCTAGTTCAGGAGCCTACAAACCAAGGTAGGGTGCAAATGGATGAAGCCGTAAGTGCACTCAGCGTAACACAAGTGCAACCTCTTACGTGACAGCTGATAACTCAAGACCTATGGCGTAAAGGTATTCCAGTTTCCCTTATAAACCGTCAATCTGACAAGGGGAAAACGCGGCTTGCTTCACTGTTGCGTAACGTCACAGGTTAGCGAGCGTGGAAGGGGTGTTTACCGCTGCCTAGCAATGGGATAGGTGGGGGAGGTGACGTCACTTGCGAAAACGCATTAGTCACGTCACCCCTACTCACTACTGCAGTATGACATAATCGCGCCTGCGCGGAAGTCTTGTTTACCGGCTTTCGCTTTGAAGCGGTTTGCATAACCTCGTTCCACTGTTACGTAACTGTTTATCAAAATCGGTCATCGTGGTAATCGTTCCACATCTCGTCGCCCAATAACAGGTTGACATGTCACAATACTTAAGTGAACAATATTCTACCGTCCACAAAGGCTACAGTTGTAGTATTTAGAAGTGACAGTCCAGGAAAAGCTGCGCAGTGGATGGGCAGGTCCATTCGTGAAAGTTGAGGGGTGTTGTGATTTAGTCATTCGTCTGTTTTCAGTGCAAGCCGACGTCTTAAGTTCAGTTAAAATTAGTCTTCCTTGTACAGTCAAGTTAAAAAGTTTTGACTCCTGGAGTCGTATTTGAGTGTATTATTCTCTATTTACTGTATTAATATTTTATTTTATTATTTATTTTTATTCGTTGATTTTCTTCTTTGTTTATTTATATTTGTACATTTTCCTATCTCATTTAACATGCCACCTACACGTAGTAATTTGAGTGGAAAAGTGTTGCATTCACAATCAAGAGAAATTGTTAGTAATGTACATAGGTTGGATAAAAAATAGTGGCAACGCCTCTATAGTTCTGAAATTACTTTATTACCTGGGGTAACCACACTTACATTCCTTCTATATAATCGCCCCCAATGTGTACCACCTTCTGCCAAATTTGTGGAAGGCGTCGTGCACCATCAGCGAGTCCACTTCTGTTGATGTCCCGCAGTGACCGCCCTACAGCACGAATAATCTCCTCTCGTGTTTTAACGTAACCCTAGCAGTGGTTCTTTCATTTTGGCAAAGATTTCATAATCGCACGGACTCATATCGGGTGAGTATGGTGGATGTTGTAGTATCTCCCATCGCCAGGGGCGAAGTAGATCCTTGACAGCGTCAGCAGTATTAGCCCTTGTACTGTCATGAAGGATGATGGGGTTCGTTGCCAACAAGTGTCGTCGCTTTCTCCTGAGTGCTCGTCAAAGAGGATTATGCAGAAAACTGCAATAGTAAGCAGCATCTACTGTCTGTCGTTGAGGCAGAGTGTGGTGCAGTATCACTCCATCAATGTCATATTCCACAAGGAATATCGCCTTCGCATTACTCTGTGTAGGGCGCATTTTTTTTGGACGAGGAGAGCCAGGATGCTTCCATTCATTTGATTGTCGCTTCAAGTGCGGTTCGTATGAGCGAGCCCAAGTTTCGTCCAGAGTGACGATCCTTCCAAGGAAGTAATCACCTTCCTTCTGGTACCGGTCCAGCAAGTCCTGTGCAACTGCATAATGTTGCCATTGTTGCACCTCGGACATTGTATGGGGTACCCAACGCGCTGCAATTTTGCGGTATCCAAGAATATCCTGCAGAATGTGGAGCATGGTTTTGTGACATACGCCTACCTCAGCAGCTAACTCCCATGCAGCCCATCGACGATTGACATCCAGCAAAGGAGCAAGAAGCTGAATTGTGTGGTTGTCAACATGGGGTCGTCCTGAACGATGGCTGTCCTGAATGGTATCCCTCCCTTTACAGAACAATTTTACCCATCGTGACACTGTGCGATATGGCGAAGCAGCATCACCACATGCTTTTCGCAGTCCCTGATAACAGTTTTGTGCACTACGACCTCGTGTAACTTCAATTTTTATCCAGAAGCATTGTTCTTGTTTCGTAAACATGTTCTTAGGGCGCTTGAACTGGGCTCCTGCACTTCAAGACGATGCACAATGCAACTCAATGAAACACAACCAGAGCCACTCACTGCACTACTTCAACTGAACTTCTGCTATCAGCTACAGATGGCGCTAGTGCCACCTGAAGCACATGTTTCATGTTACAGCAATGTTGCCACTACTTTTTATCCAACACTTGTATGTAAGTATATGAAAGAGGCTAGGCCAACAATTACAGTGAAGAACATCGGAGTGGAAGTAGCAAAGGCAACAGGTGTATCGGAAAGTAGTGTCAGAAGAATAATAAGAGAAACAAAAAATATCGAATGTGAGGCTTCCACTTCCTTTTCGACATCCCATAAAGCAGGGGTCTCCAAAATTTTCGAACCGCGGGTCACATTAGGTAATTCAGCACTTTCAATGGGCCGGATAAACTGAGAAATTAATGACTCTAGGTATATAAGTTTTATTGAAAGCACATAATTTCATAAACTAATACAAAGTACGTACGAATAAATTATCGTATATTAATGACAACATACAGTAGCAGCAAATGCTCATATGTATTTTCATCACAAATTATAATAAAACAATTAATGTGAATGATGGTACTCTTTTTGCATTCTTAAAATGTGATTAAACTGAGGTTCAAATTTTGAAACGCTATTCACAAGCAGCGACTGTAAATGTTCATCGGATAAATTTGTCCTGTATTTCGACTTGATGTACTTCATCTGGGAAAAAGTTTGTTCACACAGATATGTCGTCCCAAAAATGGAGATAAATTTACAAGCAAATTTCTTTAAATTTGGAAATTGCTCAGAGTTCAGAAATTTATAAAATTCGGTCAAATTTCCTTCCTTGTATTTGTCTTTAATATGATAATTTTCCTGAAGTTCAATAATTTCCATCTGAATTTGACTTGGAACATCTGCAGCATCATAGTCAAACGGATTTTGAAACAATCTAATTTCCTGAGCACTGGAATCCAAATCAGGAATTCGCTTCCGAAATTGTTCCTTCCAACCAAAAATGACTAAATTTGCAAACGAGGAAGGAAATTCTGCTTCACCCTTTTTGTGCAACTCTGCACAATATAGCATATGAACAAAGTTACAATTTTTCACTTGGCTTTCCAGAAGTATCAACTTTGCTGTGAATGCCATGATAAGTGCAAATAAATCACAGACTAAGTTACTTTCACCCTGCAACTTTAAATTCAAATGGTTCATATGGTTCACCATATCAGCAAAAAATGCTAATTTCCAAAGCCCCTCGGTATCTGATACAAGTGGTTCGTGATGGTTTTTCTTGGTAAGAATATATCAATTTCATTCCTGAGCTGAAAGAAGCGCGAAAGAACCTTTCCACAGCTAAGCCACTGAACTGCAGTATAATATGTCAGGTCAATACGCTCGGAATCACATTTACCTGTACTCATTGGAAAATTAGTTCAATTGGCGCATTTCTGCACAATTATTTTGAGGGCCGGATAAAATCACATCGCGGGCAGCATGTGGCCCGCGGGCCATAGTTTGGAGACCCTAGACATAAAGAAAGACGTAGGAAATCTCCACTAGCCACTTTGGACGACTTTAACGAGTCTGTGGTGCGAAGAACAATTAATGATTTCTACATAGTCGAAAAAAAAGAGACCTACCCTGAAAAAAGTTCATGAAAAGTTGAAGAAAACGTTAGATTTTCAGGGATGCATCTCCACAAAAAAGAAATTTATTTCGAAACTGGGGTTCCCCTGGAAGAAAACAAAATCGGCAAATACTGGTGGAACGATATAATATCAGAGCCAAACGTCTTCATTATTTGCGGCAAATTAAAGAATATAGGGAAGAGGGCCGCCAAATCATCTACATGGATGAAACCTATGTTCATTCATTGCACACCACCCCATATGCATGGAGTGATTGATCCATCCATGGATTATTCTCCCTTGTGTCCAAAAGCCAACGGCTCATTGTTATCCATGCAGGGGGAGAGCAAGGTTTCATCCCTAATGCCTATGTCCGCTTCAAATCCCACCAAGAAAACAGGAGACTACCAGTGACATGAACTACACCAATTATGAAAAATGGTTAAAGGAGCGACTTATTCCTAACCTTCCTCCAAATTCTGTCCTTGTCATCGATAATGCTCCCTACCATAATGTACAACTAAACAGAGCCCCTAACTCAAATTCAAGAAGAGATTTTATGATATCCTGGCTAAAATATCACCTTCCACCTATTACCTTCAATTACA